CAATGTTACTGCAATAAACAAAAAATAAAAAAAAATAAAAAAAATAAAATAAAAAAAAAAAAGCCCATATAAAATGTGGATGGGCTCAATAGCAGAATGGTGGTGACAAAGGAAAGAATCAATGACATGGAAGAAAGAACAATAGAAATGACCTAATCTGAACAACAGAGAGAAAACAGACTGAAAATAAATGGACAGAGCCTCCGGGACCCGTTGGAGGATAACAAGTGATGAATGTTCATGTCCTGGGAGTTCTGGAAGGAAAGGAGACAGAGAGCAGGGCTGAAAAGGTGCTTGGGGGAGGGAGTGAAATGGGCGTGGCCATAAAAGGGCCACAGGAGGAATCCTTGCCGTGATGGAGATGCTCTGCATCTTGACTATCAGCATCAGCATCCTGGTTGTGATATTGTAGTGTACTTTTGCAAGTTGTTACCTTTGGGGGAAACTGGGTAAAGGGTACATGGGATCTCTCTGTATTATTCCTTATAACTGCATATGAATCTATAATTATCTCAAAATAAAAAGTTTAATGTTTTGAAAAGAAAGAAAAATTAATTTCTCAACTAAAACATAGTCTAAGAGAAAAGCATCCCTTAATCCCTCTTCTGACCCTTGTAGCCTGTCTGAACCAGTTAGGATTTGTTTTTTACTGGTGAACTCGTTCTGTTTTTCTATTTTCATAGCCAAGGCTGAGGCAACGTCGAACTCAAGAAGTGGTTCCATTATTCCTTTCATTCAACTAATTAAAAATTTTAGACACAACTGAATTTGTTTTTTTACAGAGGGATTTTTACTTTAATGTCTTTTAAAATGGTTTAAATAATGTCAGTGTTTCCCAGGTGTTCTTACCCTTCTCCCCCATAACAAAATGAATGTCTCAATTCATAGATACCCGTAACTGTATTTTACCCTCAGTTGCCTGACAGCTGCTGGCTTCCTTCTCATTTCTCCAACAGAGCATCGAGATGAGACTCAAGGTGAGCCTGCACGAAGACCTGGGGGCTGCGCTCATGGATGGCGTCGTCCTCTGCCATCTGGTCAATCACATCCGCCCTCGATCCGTCGCAAGCATCCATGTCCCTTCACCAGCAGTTGTAAGTAATGCCGTGTAAAGGGAAACTAGCTTACATAAAACAAGCTCTTTTGTACAGTGTTGCTGGTTAAAGATGCCAGTGGGATCACCAGGACCCCACTCAAATCCTCTCTGTTTGGCCCCAAACACCTAGAAGAGCAGAAAAGGAACAGGTCTGAATGAAGCAACGTTTTCACTGAAAAAGGGAGACTATTTTAAATAAATATATAAATGACCAGAAAAGAATTTATTTTAAATATAGAGCAAATCATATTAAAAAATTACTGGTTGGAGTGCTAACTGTAAGACTGTAGAGACATAAAGATTCATTTCTCACAAGGGGTTATTTAAACAATGAGAAGTCTTTTTGGAAACCTTTTTTTGATTGGTAGCGTCCCTTCTAAATGGAATCTCTTTCCTTTATTAATCATTGGGGATTTTAGGATACCTCTGAAAAGTTGTAAAATATCATTAATAAGCTGTCAAGCCAAAGGTTGGTCAGCCAGTCATTAATTCAACAATTCCTTGATCACTCGCTCTACTCAAGGGTACGCTGGCGGTACTGGGGGAACAATGGGAAACGTGAAGATGAGAGAGATGCCATCAATGCCCTAAAAATCCTCGTCTGCCCTGTGGTGAGGGATAAGCCGGCACGTGTGATCCTCTTCCTGTGTATCACGGAGCATGTTACCATCCAGAAGAGAGCCACGGAGTCAGTTTTATGGTCATTCAGATGAGGGTGGGGAATCAGGGATAAGCTTGTCTTTGAAGCCTATGTAGGGTTCAGACAAGTACAGAAGAAAGAATTTCTCTCCACACTATTTGCTGTTTGTAGGAGAGGCAGAAGAGTTTAGGGGCTAAGAATGTAGGTTTTGGATTCAAATCCCAGATTTACCTATAAGCCATCGGATTTGGGCAAATTATTTAACCTCTCTTTAATTTGATTTGCTCTTCTCTATCATGGAAATGTGCTTGTGGAGATGAAATAAGGTACCACATATGATAGACACATGAATGTAAGCCATTATTATCATTCATTTATAGAGTGGATTTTCAAAATCCAGAGCCCCTAATCTCAAGGTACAATGCTCATAAATATCCCATAACGAGTGTGTTGAGTGAAGCCGCTCTGCACCCTCCCTCGTCCCCTAGGAACGCCTCACCGTGACATCATTTGTCCTGGTTTCTTTTCTCTTGGCAGCAGGAAAAATTAGCTGATGATCCCATGTCAACTGTCAGTTTCTTGTCTGTACTATTTTTTTTTTTTTAA